AGTAGTAGTAGTAGTAGTAGTAGTAGCAGCAGCGCAGCAGCAGCGCAGCAGCAGTGGCAGTAGCGTTAGCGTTAGCATTAGCATTAGCATTAGCAGTAGCAGCAGTAGTAGTAGTAGTAGTAGTAGTAGTAGGAGTAGTAGTAGTAGTAGTAGCAGTGGTAGTGGTAGTGGTAGTAGCGGTAGTAGCAATAGTAACAATAAGTAAGAATTATTAATGCGAAAAACCATCAACAATAACAATCGTAATCATACCAATAGGCATAAGTGTACTGACCATCATCGTGATAGTACCAATACTGTATGGCCAGCATTGTCTAGTAGTGATGAGAATACTAACAATCATAGTGGTATTCATGAAGATAGTCATCACAACCATGATGCTGCGGCCCACCTTCTCCGATGTCCAAGGCTTGCAACACCATGGGAACAGCATGGCCTCAATTCGATGGCTCTCGGGCTCATTTTGCAAAAGCACAGAAAGCCGAAAGATACCAACAAGCCCTCATGCCACAATGCTTGCTAGGCACGGGCCACCGGGCTGCCGACAAATCCCATGGCGATGAATCTACAAAAATCTCAATGCTGGAGCTTGGAGTGGGTTGGCTGTGGCTGAGGGATCATGGTCAGCATGTGAGAGGGTCCTGGCTAGGGACATGTTGAAATGCAAGGCCAGCCGAGGTCAGATTACTCGCGGTTTTAAGTTTAGAGGTCACGTCTGGCTTGAGTCCTTGAAGAAACTGCTCGGTCCGTTTGTTTCCTGTGCTCAGGGCTCCCAGGGTCAGAGCACAAGCCCGGGTCACAAGCGGCACTGGTTGCCCTCCCTCAGAGCCTGAAGGTCACGCTGCATGCATGTTTACATATGTACACACACATATACGTATATATATATACACATATATACATATATATATATACATACATATATATATATATACGCACACACTAACGGTGATCTCATAGATCTCATATGCCTATATGTAGATATACGCATGTATCTACACATCTGTTGGTCTGCTTTGAAAGCTGGTCTTGCACAACAGCACAGTGTCGAGCTGCAGATCCTGGCTAGCCAGAGCTTCGTTTTGACAACTGCAACCCGAACCGTGTCAGAACAAAAGCCAGATCCTAGATCTTAAACCCTGACCCTGACCCGTACTCCGTAAACCCCTGAAGCCCCAAACCCCATCAAAACCCCTGAAGCCCGAAGCCCACCTAAACCCCCTGAACCCACCAAAAGCCCTGAACCCCAAATCCTGAACTCCGAACCCTTGAACCCTAAACCCTAAACCCCTAAACTCTAAACCCCTAAACCCTAAACTCCAATCGTCGGAGAGTCCTCAACTGCGGAGTTTCCTTTGACTCGGACAGGGGCCTCGGGACATCTCGGAAAGAGGGGCCTCGAATAGTATATTTCTGTGTAATTTAGCATGCTAGTCCTTTAAGATGTAGTATATTTCTATATATATATATATATATATATATATGTATTATAGCATGATAGTCCTTGAAGCAAAATTACAGTATACTGTAATATAGGTGTTAGTGTTATGATAAAATAATTACAAATATATTTCGCTAGTTTACACAACAGCAAGAAACGGGCATTCGCAGTGCTAATTACTTTGTGGAAACTGGTGGGCTAGCAGTAAGGAGTGAGGGAGGTCGTACTACCCCGCATCATGATCTCAGCAATGGAGGCCTGCTACATGACAGTACGAAATAATTAGGTTGCTGGGAAAGGTAGCAAGGTGGCGGCTTCGGGGCAGAAAATGGCGGATCAGTGCTAGCGAGACATCATGGTACCATGCGTCTGTCATGGAACCTCTAAGTAGATGGCCTTGCCGGGGTCGGAAAAGGCGATCGCGGCAAAGACGAGGAGACAAAGCGGAACGCCCGCCTGGAAAGCCTCCCGAAATCAGAGTCGTGGGTATAGGAGCCGAGTATGTCCACATCCCTCGTCTGTTCAGGCACACTGGTACAATATATTCCGGCCGTCACCACGCGGACTTAGATTTGGAAACCATGTCGTAAAGAAAGAGGCTGCGAATCGCGACACTAGATTCACTAGATAAGTTGCCAGGTGGTTGTTCAGGTACTTGCGTAGCAACAGAACTTAGCGCTTACACAGGTTGACATGGCAGTGAGACTACGGACCGCACTCGAAGAAAATCCGTTGAAATCCGATCGAAGTCTGCACGAAGCATGCCCCGCGCCAGCGCTGTGCTTGGCAGCAGCATAGCTGCGGATGTCGAGAGATCGAGCAGAAACCTTACGTCGAACTGGCACCAGGGCGATGATAGGAAAAACATAATAATGCACAGAATCCTACGACAATGCACAACCATCTTCGCGCCCATGAGCATAGCATCCGGAAGGGCTTCGTGGAGCCAAGCCACTCCAAAGATGCGATCGACACCTCGGACTTTCCATGACGAGGTTTCACGGTGTAGACACCGTCACGACTCCCCGCAAGCCCAAACGCTCCACGACGCACCGTCATGCCCGAAACATTTGAGAAAACGCCCCAGAGTCGAGACCAAATACAGAAACTCCACGACTTCGACTGCACAGCATCCTGGTGGAGCTCATGAGTTTTTCCTTCGCTGTGCAGCGTGCTCCTAATCAACATATGACATGAAAGATGCCACTTCCTGCGCCAGACAGCCGTTCTTCTTTGATACTTTCAGCCTGCATGTCTGCAAAATTTCGAAAGCCAGCACTGGGAGTCCAAGTGGCACAGCAAAGCCAGAAGAGCGCCGGCACCCACATCTTTGCCTGGTCTGGAGATGCCACTGGCACTGTCTGTTTCTATGAGTTGCAACTGAGTCACAACGCATAAGCAGCTGTACCTATGATGTGCAAAGTGCTGAGGTTGAGGATGCTGCAGCACTTGCAGAGGTCCAGCTGTCGAAAGCAATATTAATAGTATTGGCCGGTTGGCCGCGGTCAATGAAAGCATGACAACAACATATCTGTATAACGCACAAGACATCTCTGAGATACTTCAAGGCTTGGATTCTGCCAGCCCCCCATGACAAAGAACATTCCTCGATTCCTGGGTGTCCGGCACTATGGATGACGCGTTCCATTTCCTGCAGCGGACCAATTGTACGTGTGGTGTTTGGGTTGAAGCTTCCACTACAGACGTGCAGGTGTCAACTTCGAGCAAACCAGAAACCCGGAGCCTTCAGCAAACCTCAATTACAACTACCTTCACGTGCCTAGGTCCGCACCCGCAAGTGCTTGCCCCACGAGCGCTACTACTTCTTGCGGATGTCATACAACCCATCCGTAAGCCCTCTCCGTCCAGTTGAAAATTCGCCTCGACTAAGTAGGTACGAACGGCCAGTCACGGAAAGACACCATAATCCACAACTTCAGCACCACTGCGGAATACGGCTTCTTTGGCTGATTCAGCATCCGGTGCCAATTCTCTACACACCAATTCCTTCAGCCCGCCCCATCTCCAAGAGATCGTAGCAAGCCCTGAATTTGTCATGAGCTCTGAACTTGAAACACTGAACTAGACACCAAAGCCTTAGTCAGCTACCTCCCCTGAACTACTACCTTCGAAAACGCTAGAAGACTGAGCATGCTAGAAAGCGTAAACTTGCTTTCAGAGACGAAGAGCCTCGCCTCTGCGCCCGGCCGCAGCACCAAGCGCCGTGTGCCGGCCTGGTGCAGCTGCAGCTTACGACTGTACTGTTCGCTGTCTTGTGTTTAGGGTTTAGGGATTATGATATAGGGTTTTGGGTTTTGGGTATGGGGTTTAGGGTGCCTTCGGACTTTGCTGACGGCTTTGCATGGGGTTCGGAGAGATTCGGGCCTTGGGATCTAGGGGGAAGCTCAGGAGTTGGGAAAAGCGGACACGCCAGCCTGCAATCAGTGGGTTCTCCTTGGCCTTAGCATTGCCATTGTTGTTGCTACTATTGTTATCAGTATTGCCATTGGTACTTTTAGCACTGCTGCTTTCAATGATTACTATAGTTCGAGTATACCTATCAAATAAGAAGATCAAGAAGAATAATACTTACCCTTTTTTGCTAGGACTAGGAGCAAAGCCCTTCAAGACTCCTGGCTGAAGTTTGGGGCCTTGCCCTAAAGAGTCGAAGGGTGGAGGACTTCTCGGAGGCCAATTTCGGGGCCTCAAGTCTTAGACTAAGGCCAGATAGGGTTTGTTGTAGTATTCTTCATTATAACAAGCAGACCTATCGAATACTATACCGTCATTACTCAGGCTTCTAAAATATTCGGGCTTTCAACCTAAAGCAAAGCTCTTCAAGTTCTCTCCAATGAGTCTTGCCAACCTTGCTGTAGACGCTGTACCGTTGCAAATGTCAGCTTCATGGCCAGTACATCATGCGACTGAAGAGACTTCAACCTCGCACCTTCACGGCTACGGTACTCAGGCCAGCTCACGGGCCAACGAACTATTCCAGGGATGTACCTAAACAACTCGCGCCAGTCTTCCCTGCCACAGGCCGCAGCCTCCACATCCGAGCTTCGCTTCCTTAGCCCGATCCAAATCCACCCAATCCACGGTTCCCTCTCCGCTCTGCTCTCCGTCTCAACTCTCTGTCTCTCTGACCCTCCTTTTGCTTGAGGTCCTGCGTCATCCCTCAGCCTTATTACCCTAAGCCTGAACCTGAATCCCCCAAGCTCCGAATGCCTCTAACTCCGCGAAAGTCCTGCAGTCTAAACCCCAATCCCCATTCTCTACACGAACCCTCTAATACTATCGAGCCCATTAAGAAGCTTGATCTTATGAGGACGCCCTATAAACCCCTTACGAGGCCTAAGGCGCTAGAACCACAACCGAAGGCCTCCCCCCGAATCCTGCCGCCCAGCACCCTGGACCCTGAAAGCCCAACCCCACCATACTATACTAAACTCAACGATAAGTATAATTATAAGTATACGTATGGTAGAAGGAAGTACTCGCTGACAACCAAAACATGCGGAAGAGTCGCAACAAGTGCATTTGCCTCTGTCATTGTCTTTGATTGCAATGCAGATAATGATGACCACAGCCGCAACAATAAGAGGACTAGTATTCATACTACTGGGACGGGGCCCTTAACCTTCAATCCCCACTTGTCCTTTGAGGGCAAGAAATCCTACAATCCCTCCATACCCACAAACCCTGATACATACTCAAAAGCCCTGCAAGCCTTCCTTGATCAAGAGCTGCTAAGAAACCCTAAACCCCCAAGCCCCAAGAAGAAGCCGGGCCCGAACCAGTCTAGCCTTAGGGGTTTAGGGCCTATCACAACCGATACAATAATCCCAAGGCCCTGGGCAAAACTTTCTAGAAACCTGCAAAAGCCTTTGTAAACCCCAGGAAACCCTCTAAACCCCGGACCCTCGCCAATCCAAAAAGAAAGGCCCAGAAGCCGAACCGTAGGCCCCTAAACCCTAACAAGAAATGTCGCTTGTCTGCCAGGGGGCGGCTCTAAAAGTCGCGCCAGGCGCCTGGCTGTGGGAGACTTTGCGCTCACCTGCTGGGCCACCTGAAGTCGTGCGATATCGGGGCCTTGTTAGACATGTAGGGTTGGCCGTGTCTTCTACCAGAATGCTACAACTGCAACCATACAAGGCCTTTAATTTAAAGGGGATACAGTTCCTAAACATTCCGAACCCTCATTGAGGTTTGCAGATTTGCAGATGGTTTTAAGGGCAGTTGCGGAATGCTTTTTCCAACAAGGCTTCGGAGTGGATCGCATTGTAACTGCAGTTTGAAACAACTCGAGTCTGCGCATGAAGATCATCTGGGGAATTGCCTTTGGCAGATCAGACGAGCATCCGTGCCAATCCCGAGATCGAAGTACACAAAGCACGCCAGGGAAAGACTCAAGGCGCTGGCCCTCCATGTCCACCCCAAAGCATTTACTTTACTGCAAGAGTCAAAAGTGGAAGCCGGAAGCCAGAGATCTTCATTCGCGCCTCCAAACAGGTCCGGCCCTGGTTGTCAACCGCCGAGGGGTCAACGCCTGAACGGTGGCCAAAGTTCTTGGGTAATGTAGGAACCTGATTAAGAAACCCCGGCCCTATAACCCCCAAAAAAGCCCAAGGTTTCTTTGTCAGGTTCCTACGTCAGACAGTGTAATTAGACATGCCAGAGGAAGGGGCCAAGGGCTTCGCATCTAGAGTGATATTCCACCGTGTCACAAGGAATCAATCGTGCACCGTCAGTGACCTTCACATCGTCTTTGCGCTGAAAACCTCTGAGGCTGTGAAGTGGCGAGTCTAAGTCGTTTTGGAAGTGCCAACATTTGCGTCAGAGCAGCGAAAATACTCGGGCGGGATGCAGGAGGTGTAAGTGTAAGCTTGGGTCTGCTTCATGCATGAATTTGGAGCACCATAAGCTCATCGAGGGTGCCGCCAGTTGCATTCGAAGTCGAAAGTAGAAAGCTGCTACAGTAGTTAGCCAATGTAGAATCCCCGGCCTCTCTCCAGCAGGAAGGAGATGATGCGCTCCTTTCAGGTGCACCCAAGATTTTGTGTCCCTTGGATGCTCCCTATCTCCGTGGCTTGGGTAGCTCGCAAGCAGCAGGAGGCAAGCCGTCTTTGAAGGTCCGCTACGGGGCGGCTCGACAACAGCCCTGCAAGAGTCTGCTATGCCTCGATGTAGCTGGGGCCAGGAACGGGCAGGAGAGGATGGCACATCATCCAGCTACGGTCGCAAAGAAAAGCAGACTAACCACAAAAAGCAATGCTGCACGACCCTGACTTCATGTTCCAAACCCCACCCAAACTTTCCCAGAGCTCCTGATGACCTTGCGCGGCTCGGTGTAGAAGAGTCATCCTCAGCTTCATGTATGCCGCGTGGAATTGCCAGCAGCCAAACTCGGCACAATGCTTGGTGCTTGCCTCTGTGCTCTGAGCACCGGCCGCTTATTGCAGTTGGGCAGCAAACAAGTTGTCCAATACTTCGTAGCAGTAACTGTAACTTGGCTAGGAGGGCCAATTGCCATCAGGACTCTGCTCGTTGTCCACCGCGTGAAAGTCTGCGCCGAAGTACTCTAGAAGCCTTGAAAAACAGCAGCAGCTCGAGGTACTTGACGCAGTTTTGCGAAGTAATTAAGCGGTTGACAGGCTGCTTTAAGTAGCCTTACACAGGATGAACACTCAATATAGCATAGACGAGGAAGGCAAACACCAGCGAGGTCGGCAACGTGATCCAAGTGCACCGCTAAGCTCACATGTCCGTGCTCTCGCCTGGCAATACAACTGCCCGCGAAGCATGAGCGTGAAAAACAAGAGGTGCCACAACGCCAAACAAATTGCCATTGACTCAACAGATCGCAACAGCTTGTGAAGTTGTGAACCGCAGGTAAGCACTGTTTAAAAAAAGGTGCTATTTCGGGTATTTCGTTTAGCTTTACTTCTTACGTACCACTTTGTGCCGTGCCTAAGAACAGTCGGAGATTTCGGAGACCCGCAGAAAACAACTAACAGCTTGAGAAATTAAAGCCCCTATATTATAGTACCCTTGTAGAG